TATAATGTGATACCTAATACTTGATCTATACATAGATATGTATCTTGCATGTACATATATGTATTGATATTTAACTATGTATCCGTAGGTCTGATGTGGAAACTCGTATCACACATATTCAACCGCAATAGTTGTATTCACAACGCATACACAGCAATATTATATATCTGGCGCACATGTCATTCGTAATTAGTTTTCACTAACGTTTCTCAACCATGTTAAAACTTTTATAAAATTTCTATATTTTAATTATTTTACTAAACATTTTATTTAAATTACATTATTTTATTTATATAATCTACATAAACTTTAGTTATTATGATATTTACAACAAGGTTAATTTATTTCACAATTTAATACATATTTTATTTTCTATATTTTCACATTTTACATTAGGCATTTACTTTAATTAAATTATATGTTTAAACAATATTTAGGCTCTGAAGATGGCATTACGCCGAAACAGCGCTGTTAGCTTTATTCCAGTTTTAGATAAATATGAACTCAAACAATACCGCCTCGTTGAATGTCTTATAAAGAAGTTAATTAATGCAATATGGGCAAACAATTTCAATGAAATTTGCATATATATATATATATATATATATATATATATATATATATATATATATATATATATATAATGTTGATAAAATATATAGGATAATTTATCTAACAACATAGACTATTTTGAAACTGAAATAATAAGTTTGTAAAGAGATTAATGATGAAAAATGATGAAGTTGAACTCCTTTGTTGTGAAAGTTTAAACTGCAAGAGGCAAATTCAGATTGGATGTCTTGCTCTAATACTGCTGCATTAAAAATGTTGGATTTTGTGCATCTGTCGTGTTGCTGACTTCAACATGAACATTTGTTGGACCAAAATACAAGTACCCAATGTTACATATGCATGTTCGGTCTGGTGTATGCAAATCTCTATGCTAATGAAAAACCACCATTCATTATTACAAGCCTGCATTTAATAAGGGCCCATCATGCATGTGGCCATGCATGTGCTCTTCACACACTTCTCTGGGGTTCGCACCATCGACTTTCGTAAAAAGAACTATAGCATCATATATCCTTCCATTCAACCACTGAACATTCAACATTGCACAAAGTTCAAAAAGTGGATCCCTATTAGGAAAACTTATAAATTGATGAGATGAGCATATAAAAATATACATTTGTTTTTTGTTTTGTGTATATATATATATATATATATATATATATATATAAACATATATATATATATATATAGATACACATGTTTATATACGTGTTTGTGTGTTTTAATATTTATCATCAAGGCATTTACATGTGTTTATGTTGGTATTTGTGTATGTGTGGTTATTGTTATGGTCATAAATAATTATAATATCTATTATATTATAATAAGTATAATAATACTGATGAAATACCTGAATTATACAAGGATCAGCAAATATCAACGCAATTAAAATAAAATGTTCCTATGAATTTTATATAATTTCTAGCGCGACGGTTTCTCGCCGACTTCAAACTCGCCTCCATCATCACCTCCTGTTTTTCATTTGATTGCTTGATGTTTAAGCCTTCCATGCACGTACGATGCGCGCTTGTAAAGAGTCGCAAGAAGTTTTGTGTTGTCGATCAAGTGTCATTGATGACAACCTGCTGCGCCTGATGATGATCACGTGCACCTGATTATGGTCACATGCACCTGATTAGGGTCACGTGCAGCTAATGATGATCATGTGCACATGGTTTTGATGATCACGTGCACAGATAAACGCAAGCACTACCGGCAATAAAGATGATGTTGGCATGTTGGTGTCACGTCTACAAACTTTTTGCATCAGAAAATGTAGATTTCATGTTTTATTATACACATTTTTTATCATTTTGACGCAATGTAATTTTTATTTAATGAACTTTTATTTAATTTTGTTGTCATTGTGATTTTCAATTTGTACGATATTTTTTGTGAACATGGAAACTGGACAGGCGGCCAGAAACAACTTTCATGTCTTTTTCCAGATGTCATTTTTTTCATCATTATAATGTTTTTGTGTGATTTAACTGGATTTTGTTGGAATTTTTAAATTTTTTTAGCACTGTGACTTTTTCTCTTGCTCAATTTAAATTTGTAATAATATTTAATAGCATTGACCACTGTAATGTAATAATATTTCATAACATTAACCACCACAATGTAATAATATTTTGCAGCCTCTACAATCATACCCTGATAACATTTTGCAACATTACATGCCAGTCGCAATTGCTGCATAACAGGTTCCGCCAATATTTCCGTTCTGCTTTCAAAACGTTTCAATATTTTGAAAAACTTGTTTCGTAAGAGTAACATGAAGAAGAGAGAACCTGTTACGGACATTCGTTTACTATTTTTTATATGATTTGAAGCTTCTTTTTCTCGTTGAAAGATTGTTATGATCAGTTTTATTTATTTTCCGTCCACGTTCATTCATTGCGTTTTCCATTGTTTTTTTGTCAGCTGTTAAATTTTTCAATTCATCTTGCTCATATATATATATATATATATATATATATATATATATATATATATATATATATATATATATATATATATGAAATTAGTAGGTTTTCATTGATGCAAACGTTGTTGAAAATTGCTGCCCATTTGGAAATTAAGTAGTTTTTAACACAACGTAGTTTTTGCAACTTGTAATTTTGTAACTCAACTGTAATATATATATATATATATATATATATATATATATATATATATATCTGTGTGTGTGTGTTTGTGTGTGTGCGTGCATGCGCATGCTTTGTGTGTGCGTGCTTTGTGTGCGGAGGTCTAATGGTCTTTACCTAGCGTGTTGTGTGGAGAAACATTTAAATTGCATCAAATCAATGTGGCTACTAAGAAGTGGTTTCAAAATATTGTACATTATGATTGAAATTTAAGTCATATGTAAGTTTACGATAGAGTGTTTAATACCTCTGTCCTAAATCATCTTAACCCGTTTATTCTCTTGTTTTTTTCCCAATTGAGCAGGAAAACATTCTTCTGTTGTCCTCGCAACTTTAACGTCTATTTTATTATAATTTTCACACAAAATGAAACAAAAAAAATTTGTTGGTAATTTTAATTAACCACTACCTACTTCAAACTTTCACTAAAACTTCCTGATATCAACAGACTAAAAAAATATGTCGGCCCATGCGCATATTTGTTTGATGATAACAAGCAAACTACTAAAGTTTATATTCTTTATTAGACCATGTTTAAAAGTCATGCTAATGTTGAGATGGAAAAAAGTCTGAGTAATATTAATGTTAACAATGCTATCAAAAATATCACACATGTCGTATTATTCGTGTTTTATTCGTTTGTTTTTTATGAGTTAAGTTATATTCTTTGTCCTAAATGGCCACATTCATGATTTTTTAAATTTTCTACATTAATTGAGTTTTCTAAACTGATTTTCCATTTCGAAGATTAATTTTATAATAAATTTCCGTTTTATAATTTATTCACTGATGTTGAAAGTAGTTGAAAAATTCCATTTCGCTGATTTTTGTGTTACTCGTCCACGCAACTTTTTTAAATCACTCAAATTTTCTTAGCTTTCAACAATTGTAAATGTTTACCTATATCAATTTATTTATTATATATATATATATATATATATATATATATATATATATATATATATATATATATATATATATATATATATATATATATATATATATTGGTATTTTAAGTTATAAAAATGTTTGTCAATAAAAATTGTAGTTAAGATTAGTATCAAATGTCTATTTTCACTTGATTTTTAATTTTGCAATGGACACATTTGTTTGAAACTGTGCAAATTTGTTTCCAGTTCCGATGTTACAAATATCAGATAGCCATGTAACGATTTAATTAACCAAGGTGTCATCCATGTTCGTTTTTTTTATATAATCTCAATTACTTCATGTCGTTAAGCTTGTACATTTTGTCGTTCTTCTCGCTTTCTCTTTTAATGTGTTTCATTTTCAATTTTAATAAATAATAACTGATTTTTGTAAATTTCTGTGTTTGACTTTAACAATTTACGAGGCGGTTCATTCTAAAGTAATAAGTGAGCGCTTTAATACACAAACAAATTACAAAACGCACCGTTCACACCTGAAAGGTGTGTAAATTGTATTGAATGCAAAATCACGAATCTGTTTCATAGCGTCGGAACGCTGTCGAGTTCTCTGGGGGACATCAGCTCAAACGGCCAAACCTGATTACAAATCCTAGCTAAGTAAGAACATCCTCCTGCTTGGTTGAGTTTTCAGCCCACTTGTTAATTGCTTATTATTATTAAAATTGCTGCTGGGATTTTAAATTTTCTCTTTTTGGTCTATTCTATAAATAATTATAATAAATTCTGATTAACGACTATTCGATAGCATTCTGTATTGACGAATTCTATTGAATGACTATTCTGTATTCAATTCATCCATTCTATTGCTTTTCTAATTCTATCTACTCTATTGTACTGTGACGTAGTTATAATTTCTAATTATTGTAATTAGGACTGTCACTCTGCTCTACAACCTGATAAACGACATACATACATCTCAACATAACTTCCTCTTAAGATCATTTGACAGTCATCAGCATTAACTTTACAAGCTAAGAACATGGTAGGTGAATTTTTAATATTAATTAAAAATTACGTTTTTCAAATTTTTACAAATGTATTATATACTTTACTTTGTAGAATGACAACAAGGTTAAATTAAATTAGAGTTAGATATTTTTTTTTATAAAATATTAATAACAACAAAACAATAGTAACAGTTTTTTTATAATGATTTCATCATACTAAAATTCAGTTTTGTGGCTACCTACTGTATTAATAAACACATTCTTAAGTTTTAATACATCAAATATACCATTTATATCTGTAATTGTTTATGTATGTATATTTTTATGTATTATAATTTGTAAACATCCACAAATAATTAAATACTGTTTTTCTAACTTCGACCCCAAGATAGTGTTTAACTACAGTGTAATGTGGTCAAAAAAGTTAAATTTTGCCATTGGTGAAATTGAAATAAATATTTGGTATAAATATTATTTCTAAATAAATAATGTTTAATTATTAATCTTTAGGGTTCAAGAGATCAAAACGGTTTGTCTTACACTATATTTTGCTTCATTAATCTTAAGCTCATAGATAATAGGTTTTTCAAACTTGAGAGCTTTTTTTTGTAATTTGACCATTTTGTTATTAAATAAAACGTTTTAGAAAATAAACTGTCTTTATTAAGAATGTTAAATAAAAAAAAAATTAATATGTTAATGAGGAATTTCAATGTGATAAAGTTTAAATCTTGGGCATCATTGTAAATCTGTAATAAATTCATTAGGTAACTGACCAATTAAATGTTTTTATAATTAATATTGTTATATTATCATTTCATCATTTATTACTCGCTAGAAATCAAAGAGTGCTTCACACTGTTTGACAAAGATGCAGATGGTCAGATATCATGCCAGGAGCTTGGTACAGTCATCAGGTCACTCGGACAGAACCCAACAGAAGCAGAAGTTCAAGAAATCATTAAAAATATAATCAGTCAGTGAAGGCAATTAATTGCATTTTTATGTTTCATATAAATATTCTCTATTCAGCCACACTACTACAAATTTTGGCTCCCCATGAAAATTTGAACATTTTCAAAATTTTAGTCCCCCTGTCAAAATATGTTTCAATCCTATGTGTAACATGATAAAATGTTAATGCACCTTGTCTAATGAAGATCTGCCAGACATGTAAGATTGGGTCATCAATATGCAATGATATGCAACATCAATAACCATGGTAATAATACCAGTGATAATAATTCTGGTAATAATAATAATAATAATAAATAATAATAATAATAAAGTAATAATACGAAGTGTTATAATAATATTAATAAATCCGACTAATTAATTTGTTGGCAGGAAAAAATTCATTCAGCCTGTCTGAGTTGGTGCAAGTGATGTCTAGGTTTTCGAGCGACCCCCGCAACAAGGAGGAGGAGATCAGAGACGCCTTCAGAGTTTTTGACAGGGACAACACAGGTGAGGTATCTTTTCAATGGAAATTTGCGTGTTCTTCCATTATCAATTAAAAATTAAGGCAATTTAATTTTTTCTTAATTTATTGTTTTTTTAGTAATTTTGTGTTTTTTCAATCAATCTCTGTACACAGTTAGATGACATTAAAAGATTAACATTTGTGGCAGGTGTTATATCGGCAGCAGAATTGAGGCATGTGATGACGAACATCGGTGAGAAGTTACTGGATAAAGAAGTTGATGAGATGATCAGGGAGATTGATGTTGATAAAGATGGTCAAATCAATTATGAAGGTTAGAAGTATTACATTTGAGTGCTTCAATTGGATCGGTAACATGTTTTAAATGTAAACTTATGGTTATCTGGTCAATAGACAATCTGATCTTTTAGTTAACGTAAATTTTTCATTGATAAGCTAAATTTATAAAGCCATAGTCAATCAATCAATCAATCAGTTAGTTTATAAAGCGCTATTTCCGCGATGTTCAACAGCGCTCCTTAATGAATATGGCAAACAGATGGGTCTTGAGATTCGCTCTGAACTTCGTAAGTGATGGAGAAGTAGTCAGAGAAGGAGGTAGAAAGTTCCAGAGAAAAGGGCCATAAAAAGCAAATGCAGAAGATTGTTTAACACGAGTTAAGAAAAAGTGAGAACAAGAAGACGATCGTAAATTAGGACGTTTAGGTTCAATTAATATATCTGAGAAGTACTTATGAAATAATTTAGATTGAGACTTATACATAAATGTGGAAATTTTAAAAATTATTCTATATTTTATAGGTAGCCAATGAAAGAAAACAAGATATGGAGATATATGAGAAAAGAAAGGGGCACGAGCAACTAGATCAGCAGCCGAGTTAAAAGTTTTATTTAAAGGATAGAGTGTAGAATCAGGAAGATCATGGCAGAGCGAGTTACAATAATCAATCCTAGACAAAACTAATGAAGTAACAAGAAAGTGAAGAGTAGGATCGTCAAGAAAAGGCAAAAGTTTTTTATTCTACATAGATGAAAGTAAAAATTTCTAGCAACATTATTAATCTGGAAAGAGACATGCTTGAATCAAAAGATAAAGAGTTTTAGAATCAGTTAAGATAATGGAAAGAATAATAACAGAGCGTTTAGATTTAATAAAGCAAATTAATTCAAATTTAGAAAGATAAAGTTTAAGACACATAGAGTCAGACCAAGCGATATTTGAAGTAAAAGCTATATTAGAGATAAATTATGAAGAACACTTTTGAGATTAGATAGAGGAGTAGTAGATTTTACAGTTTTTGCCAACTGGCACTTGATCCTCAATAGATGTGAGAATGTTTATAGTAAGGTTTCTATGAGGCGTATTCGAAAACACATTTTGATCTGACTGCATATTAAATATTAATGGTCGAATGAGCAAGTTGTTTATGCATCCTGAAAAGTCAGAAAATTAAAATTGCTATTTTCCAAGCAAGCCATGATAAGTTTTGTATGGTTATGAATAGGTTATAAAAAATTTAACATCTCTACATGAATAGACACCCTAAACAGAGATGTTTTTAAGTACTTTTCATCAAGTGGGGTTGACTTTTTAAAATCCACCCGAAGCCGGATTGAGATGGATTTAGAAAACAAACCCGGCCTGAGCCATGGTCGAACTAGATTTATGCAACGTTTCATTTTGTATTATAACTTGTGACTAAGACTTCTTAAGCTTGCCTAAATTTTTTCTCAAACCTTGTTCTAATGCATTCCGATCACACAAATTGAATTAATCCGTTAATCAATTTTAGTGAGCATATACTATCAAACAAACATTGACGTAACATTGAGGTTTATGGTTCAAACTGGTGTCCGGAAAATTCATCGTGGGGTAAAATTCATTGTAAAAAAAATACCAAATGAATAAAAAATGTAATACCGGAGGAAGAAATGTGAGAAATATCACTGAACAATGTCATCAAGCGAATCCCACAAACACGGGCCATCAGTCACACACGAAGTTCTTTATACTTTATTAGCACATACGTAAGTCCTGATCAAACTTGTAAAAACATATTAACATTAATAATTTGAAGGCTAATTTGAAGTTACAGTTTTTGCAATTACACACCCCATGAATGTTGTACATTATAAATACACACACACACACACATACATATATATATATATATATATATATAAATATATATATAAATATATATATTTATATATTTATATATAATATAATATATAGTTAATTTCGGCTGTGATTCGTTGGTAAAACGAAATCACGAAATCTTGATGGCCACGTAGTCGAAATGTGAATTATTTTCGAACATTCATTAATAGATTGTTGACTGAACGACAGTATTAACGAAGGTCAGGAATCGAACACAACACCAACAACTGTACCAGTTAATCGATAAATTACTTAATTAAGCTGAATAATGAATCAATTTCGGCAATTAATTGACGAACTAGGCCGAGTAGTAAGTAGATTTCGGCATTTTAACGATTAAACGATAGCTAGCAATTAGTATAATATTACACTATAGGAGAACCTACCGCAGCTGGTCACTTTCAACTATCAACGATAATCTAAATAAACGAATTCGGGTTCTATTTCGATTATTAATTAATTAATAATTAAACGATCTTACGAATATTTCCGCTCCTGGCCTCAATACCTTATACAAATACCACAATGAGTTATCCACTATGAATTATACCCCACGATGAATTTTCCCACGATGAATTTTCCATGATGAATTTTTTGTAAATCGTTCAAACTCCTCCGAAATAAAATAAAATATTTTATAACTTGATTATCTTTTTGTCTGATTTACCCTATTTTTGAAAAAGTTTTTTAAAATACCAATATTTCTATTTTAAATTGATATTCTTAAAAATTCTACTTTTCTTCATTGTGCTTGCGACGAATTTGCAACTTTAAATTTTGGTTATAATAGGTGTCAACGGGGATATAATATTATATTGTATTATATTATATTATATCGTATTATATTATATTATATTGTATTGTATTTTATTTTATTATATTATATTACATTAGATTATATTATAATGAATATTATATATATCCATGAGTGTCAAGTACAAGTATTTAAAATTGATAATTGATTACTCAATCAATCAATCAACGATCCTCCTTTGTCCATCGAGGGACCGTCGAGGCCGATGGTGTACATCTAAGCATGCTTTTTACATTTATTTTTTCCTTTTTTTTTCCAAAAACCTTTTCTATCTTTGGCCAGTTTTATTGAATTCAGAATATCAACACCAGTCCATTCAGTAATGTCATCTAAACATTTCTTTACAGGTCTACCATTTTTTTTAATCTCTTTTCCTCGTTAGTACCATCTTAATCAATCTGTCTTCTCTCATTCTACAAATGTGTCCGAAAATCCCAATTTTCTTTCTCTGACTTTGTCATATACACTTTTCTGAATTCCAAGTTGATTTCTGATGGTTTCATTCTTTACTTTCTGCCTCCAACTGATTCCCAACAAATTTCGGTAACACTTCATTTCAAAAACGCTTCCAATCTGTCTTTGTCTCTTTTCTTTATTGTCCATGTCTCACATGCATAGAGCAAGCTTGGAAAAACGCAAGATTCTATCATTCTCAACTTTGTTTTTATAGATATATTTCCACTTTTCCATATTTCCTTCAATGATGCGAACATTCCATGGGCTATTGCTATCCTTCTGTCCATTTCTTTGGTGCAGTTGTTGTCACAGGTTATAAGACTGCCAAGATACACAAACCGGTCTACTTGTTCGAGTTTATCTGATTCTCCGCATTGTTTCTGCCTTTTCCCGTTATTGATTACTACTTAAGTACAAATACTCAGTACAAGTACCCCATCATTAACCATAAATGAGTACTAAATATCAACTGTTCCTTTTTAATGGACTGAATATTTGTATTGTTAATTAATATATGTTATGAACATGCTAATTATTTAACACTTTTGCTAATAAATATTAAATAGGGTTTATTATAAATTTCAATATCTATGTTTAAATTTAATAATAAATCGTAATTAATAATTATATGCAAAAATGTTAAATATTTAAAATTTTCTTAACCAATAATAAATTAACAATGAAAATACTTTATTTAGTCCCCTGCACCATGGATATAATGGATATGGCATAATAATTGTTACCTGCCTAATAATTTTGCTTAGTTCTATGGAATTAAACGCGTAAACATTAAACATTTTTTGTAGTAGTTGACATTTTATTGATTTTTTACGATCAAACGTCTTATTATAAAAAAATTTTTTAATTAAATGTCAATAAATTGACAAAAAAAGCAACCAGAACGATAATCGCTAAGCAACCGGCTAAAAACTGATTGTTTACTTTAATTAAAATTTACTTTTCAACAAATATTTGTGTTGATTGACCTTGATGTTAAATATATATGAACAATGTATATATATAACGCCTCCGCATATCCATATTATATATATCCATGCCCTTCTATTCCAAGCATATCACTTCATGTAGCTGACAGTTATGCTAACTAAGATTTATGCATCAAAATGATATATAGTTTAATCATTTTACAATCGAAGTCTATTTTTATTTTTGAGAAACTCAACCATTTAATTATTTTATTTTTTTCAGATGTTGTTAGACTGATGTGTGCCTAAACTTTTTATAATTTTATACTTTCAAATTGTCAAATTGTAAAGGTTATCGATGAAAGTTTTTTTTTATTCACTTTTGATTTGCTTTAATGTTAACATTTGATTTTGACTTATGATATTAATCATAAACTTTTACAATAAAATAAGTTGTACGCGTTTTTTACATTTTGCTAAAAATAATACACTTAAATTGCGGCGGAAATCCCCAACGAACAATATAAAAGAAGAGAAAGTTCATGACATTTTTTAAGTCATTTAATCACATAATGTACTATTTTGCAAATTTGATGGTAGTGACGAATGACTTAATGGGCAGTAACAGGGATGCATTTTCCGTCAAACCAGAAGAAAAATATTAATAACTATTGTTTAATAGAACAATATAATTTTGGTTGTAACATTGAAATAATAAATGAAATAAAGTAATTAAAAAGGAGGAAGCTAAAAATGAGTCATTTTGTCAATCGACGGCCTCGCCGTAAAATACTGGATCCGCCACTGTTAAATGGTAATAATAGGATTAGAATTGCTGAAAAAATTATTCGTTAAAGTTTTTCAGGTTCAAAAATGTTTATTGAGTAGAACGAGGATTTCAAACGGTTTACATATACTTGAATAAGTGGACAAAGTTTTAACCAAATTGAAATACCTAAAATTTTGCAAAAAAAAAGAACAATAAGTTGAGAAAAAAAATTAAAAAAATTTTTTTCGTTGGGACAAACAATTTGAAGATGAATATAAAAAACCGTTAAATTTGTATATTTGATTAAAATTATGACTCAGCAAAATTCATTAAAAGAGGAAGAACAAGAGAGCTGTTAAAGGAAGAGATGTATTTCCAGAAAAAGGGGTTTGGTAACTCAAGTCTGTCATGGTGCTGCAATGAACCCTTCATTTCCGTAACCAACTATTCCGAATATCTCGAATATCTAATAAAAATAATTTTGCTGTCATGTGCACCTTATTCTTAGTGAATTTGATATCCTCACCAACAAACATCGAATCAGACGTGGTGACGGAAAAGAAAAAGACAACCTCTTGGTTGAAATACACCGGCTGAATGATGTTTCGCCCTTCATGCCGAAGGTATGGACAGGTCTTCCATCAAGACTAATTGTTTTTAATATTTATTTATTTATTTAATAATAACTAAAACCCAGTAGTATAAATTAACTTTTGACAAATTTAATAGTGATATATTTATATTACACTGAACAATTAAAATGTCACACACTAAATCAAACGGGATAGACGGTAATTTTTATTAACATTTTTCTATTTAATATTATAGTTATTATTGTTGTTAATAATATTATCATTATTTGTTTTTTTTTTGCTAATTATTAAGATTTAATTAACGTTTTGTTAATTAATACGATTTAATTAATTGTTAATGAAATGGGATGTACCGTTGTTCTTGTGTTGACCTGATGAACACCGATGAACACTGATGTATACTTATGAACAATGAAGTACACTAATGCACACTGATGAACATTAATAAACAATGAGGAGCGCTGAAGAACTGATGTACACTGAGGGATTGATGAACATTGGTAAACTTTCTCTGTAACCTGAATCACAAATCATTCGATGAATGCGTTTGGAGCTAATCTTTACTGTAACCTGTTCACCTTTCGTAAACTTAAACTTTTGCTAAACTTGTAAATATCCTTGCTACTCTACCTGACCTGCAAACCACTACTATTGGCGTACTTACAAACTGAGACTGCAACCTGTAAGTGAGCGTGCAGTGCATCTGTTTTACAATCTGTTCCCTCAGCCTGTTGCTTTGCATTGCAACACGCCGAGAATTTTAATCCTTTTTCCAATTACGTTCTGTAAGCTTGCCTCTATATCACAAAGTTTGTATTAGAGGTAATTGAGAGCTTACTGTCAGACTACTTGCTGCCATCCCAGCTTTTATATACATCTTTACAGCATTCACTACTTGTTAGAAGTCATCACCAGTTCACATTTTTTTCATCAGGCTCTTTAATTCTAACTCGCATTGAAATATTTACTTTTATATCATTACGTAGGATGATAATTTAGGTTAGTAGGTATAAGCATGTTTATAGGTCATATATAGATATAAGTTAAGATAAGTTAAAAAATGATAGAAAGTAATGATAATGATAGTTATAATATGATAATGATAGTTATATAAACGTACTGTAGAACGAGGCAGCAAATTTGCAGTAATTATGTAGTACATATCACATTTATAAAACAGCTTAGTATAAGATGATGTAATGTATGATTAATCAAAAGACTGAGAGACTGAGGTGCATTCTCCTAGGAGTGTGGTCTCATGGTTTATAGGAACGTGGCAAGAGAGAAACAAAGACTGGCTTACATTTTACATGCTTTTTGACAATTTTAAACATTTTTTGATTATTATTACTTTAATAAAACTTTTACAAAACTGGGTGAATCGTTCTCTTTCAATTTTAATTATTACACTTTTTTAACATTTGAATTCTAATGCTTAACACACCTAAGTCACTTTTCATTATTTTATATAGATGAACAATTTTGAGTTTTTTAACGTTGAGCCAGCGAGTTCAAAGAAACAGAAAGAATTTCCCCGGGAACATACATATTGTTCGTTCAGTAACCATTGTAGCATTACAATATATTCAAATTCAAATATTTTGATCCAAACAAAAACAACCAAACTTTGTGATCGGGAGACCCGGAAAAAGAAAATAAGATCTTGTAGTGGGCCACTCTGGACAAGATTAGCATGATCATAAGGATAACGTAAAATTAAAATAAATAAATTATCCAGAATATACTGACGTAAAATAAAAATGAAAGTTTTCATTACTCACAAATTAATGGTAAATCAATTAGATTATTTTACATATGTGTATTTATTAAACTTAATTGACAATTAAAGTTACAATGTGATACATACACACACACTTTTACACTCGAATAACACACACTCACCAAACACATATGTATATATTCGCATCTGCACACACACATACGAATACATATATAAATACACACATATACACATACAATATCCAAGTGGTACAATCATATTCCATTATTATTTATCATTATTTTAAACAAATGTCAAAGTAACCTTCTAATAAATTTGTCTAATGTCTTTAGCAAATATTTTCAAATTAGATCGAATTAAATTTGATGGTAAATTATTCTAAACTTTAGCACCGAAAGGTATAGAACTGTTTTTATAAGTTTTGGTACGCCAGATGGGTAATTGATACTCAAAATTTTTTCTTATCAATAAAGTTTAGAAGTTTGAAAAGTTTAGAATTATATTTTTAAAAAATGGAAAATAATTATTTCTGAACTACAAACATATTAACGCCAAACATTCGGTAGAATTTATAGAATATTGTAATATATATATATATATATATATATATATATATAACTCAGGATATTCTACAATTATCTCAAGACATCAAAATTGGTCCTAAAGAACATCTGCACTTCTAAAGACGATGATTCTTCGTTGAAGAGTAATCATGTAATATAGGAATTTAAATGCCCCAATGCTCTATTGACGACTGTGCGCGTCAATAACATCCGTATATTGGTGTTACGATATATATATATATATATATATATATATATATATATATATATATATATATATATATATATATATATAATATGCGTGGCTCAAACAACATATAAATTTTAATGAGAATGGAAAATTTACACTGAGCATGTTAGCGTCGTCTATGTTTTTTGGAGAATTGTATAAAAGTTTGTCATTATAACTGTATGTTATCTTGGTTGCTCTGTACAAAGTCACGTTTGCGTGTCGTCATTCGTGACTGCACCTTATATTGGGCACAAGAAGACAAAAAAGTTGTTTCACTTATTTGAAAATATTCTCCCTCATCATCATCTCAGCGTAAAATATGCTTACAATCCTACTTTGTGGCAGTTCAGATTTACAGAAATCTAAATACTATTTGAAAATTAAGCAATAACGCTTTATTGCCAGATACATGCATATAATTACAAATGCGAACAATAGAAAATGCCGCGCGAAACAATTTAGCATATTTGTGGAGACTCGTATATTTCTGTTAGCAGTTCGACGTGTTGGTGCGCGTGTTCGAGAGACATTGCGCTGCATCATTCAACGAAACACAAAAAATTCATTTGGCTGTTTGTCGGCTTTGTAACCAGCAGTATTTAACAACATTCAATAACACACACATTAGCATTAATAACATCTAATAACATACACAATAAGATACGGTAAACTTTATTTTGTGACTTCTGTAACATTTGACAACAAGTTGAAAAAATTGATCATTTCTGTTTTTCGTAATTGATGTCATTATTTCTATAAACTTATAAACAATCACTCATTAAAATTTTTGCTTCAAGCAAACGTTGGATAAAAATGTAAGCCTCATCAGCGTCGACGACCGTCTGCAGCGAAGTTATGAAACATTAACATTTTCAACATCAAAAATCAGTGAAATCACAACAAAACTCGAAATTCTGAACAAAAACAACAAGAAGAACATTGATGGTAACATGTAAACTTTGGTGGCTGCAACATTGTTGTAAGTTATAATTACGAATGTTACAATTTGCTTCCAGATATATTTTGCCGGGTCTTGAGTGAAATATATTCCTTCTATCTATCCGTTCATCAATCCATCTTCTATTCACCTCTCATCCATCCATCCTTCCATTCATTTTTCCATCCATCTATCCATCCATCTATCCATCCATCCATCCTCCATCTATTCATCCTTCCATCCATCCGTTCATCCATTCATCTATCCATCTTACCATCGAGAGGTGAGATGTTGGAAATTTTTATTTTTACTTGCTGCACACGTAAATATTAAGAATTATTATTATTGTCTGCTATTACGAATTTGAAATTTAGAAACAAATCCGCCAAATGCTGAACATTCGAACGAGCTTCATATTTTTGCTAAGTCAGGTTTGTTGAAAATTTCAAATATAATAAGCTTAATTTGTTTAAAATCGAATTGTTAAATTCAGGCATTATTTTGTAGAAAATTTAATTTTCTTAGAAAATTATGTGGTCATAAGATATAATATATTTAAATGTTCAAGCCATAACTATAAATCTATATTTGTTGTGTATTATATTTTTGGAGTTGTTTAATTTTTGTTAAGCGTTAATTGTAATGCAATAATATTATTATCACGAACAACGACGATTTGTCAACGATATTATTTGAATCGACATAACTTCATTCGAAATGTGTGAATTATGTTAATCGAACTATGTTAAATGTAAATTTTGCAAAAATGTTCCTTGCAATTTCAGCAAGGAACAGCATGTTTCCAAGGCGACGCACGTACACACAACGCCCAATGGTCCCGCGCTCGTTCAGTGTGAACACAAACACCAGCAGAGCAACACAAACAATGATACATCGCAACTGTAACATACATTTCTACGACAAAAAATTAAATGGAAAAATCGAAATGAAAAATTTTGGTTGAATAAATGTTTGTTGAATGTGACAAAAATTTCGCCGGCAACTTCATTTACTATTTCAATTTTAAAAATTTATATGGGAATGGGAACCCAACTTAGTCTCAGCAAAGTTTCTAATGAATATCTTTTGATTGATGATTTTGCTGTTGCTAGCTATTCATACAAAGATCTAATGTAGAATTATAATTGAGCGAAATCATATTGTAAATGTTTTATTATTATAAATATGTACATTCAAAAAATTATTATTTTCACTGGTAGTTTACAAAAAAATCCTTGACGGTACAAGAAAAAAATTCGGTGGTAAGGCTCTAATTAAAGTGGCAAATGAAGGTAATGATCGTTTAATTGGAAAAATTGATTCAAACGTTCAATAGTGGTTTAGTCAGTCAGTGGAACGAGCAAAATTCAAACGATGTGATACACAATTTGCCTGGGCGACAAACAAATGTGCGTCTTTATGAAAGTATGATAATGTCAACATTCACCACTGTGTGCTCTGTGTTGTGTATACATCAGCAAACCTATGCAACAGTTTAAATGTTTATTTGCGTGTAACAATGCGTTCGTATATATGTAATATATTGTATGTATATAATTTATACATATACCAGATATACAATATATATATATGTATATATATATATATATATATTTACAATAATCTATAAATTCTACCGAATGGCCGTTTTATAGAATATTGTAAAAATTATGGTCTATTACAAACATATATATATATATATATATATATAATAGATATACAGTACATATATATATATATATATATATATATATATATATATATATATATATGAATTTAACGATAAAGGTACTTATCAATATAGTATTGAACTTAACGTTGATAAAAGCTTGATCATCTCCCATTGTTTATATATCTATATATATATATATATCTATCTATCTATATATATATATATATATATATATATATATATATATATATATGTTAACATATTAACGCCAAACATTCGGTAGAATTTATAGAATATTGTAAAAATATATATATATATATATATATTTATATAAATATATTGTATATATATCAAAAATTCAACACAACTTTCAACATTGTTCAACTTTTTTATATATTTTTTTAATTCATTAATGTCAGAGAAATTAGACATTTTAATGTTTTTTAAAAATTTTTATTAAATAAATTTGCAAATAGCTATTTCGAGTTACAGATAACTCATCTTCAGTTCATTATATATAAGGTATGTAAGATATTTGATAAGAAGGAACTTATTTGCAAATTTATTTAATAAAAATTTTTAAAAATAAAATGTCTAATTTCTCTGACATTAGCGCCCAATGATCCCATTTGGGAACGTGTATATTTAGCGCTACATAAATTTTATATTTGCACAAGCTTTACATGTTTTGGCCAATCTATATTTATTAATAGTATATCTATGCAATACAGTCACGTGGTCTTTTGTATTGTCATCGCATGCTTTGGTAGCCATTTTAAAAATTTTGTATTTTTAAAAAAAGTTTTTAGTCTGTTTTCTGATTTTATTTCCAAGTAAGTATTATGTTTTATTTAAATTAAACTATTTTTTACTTATTCACAATTACTTCTTAATATTTTAAAGTTATGAAATTAGAGGTTTATCTTAAACTTATTTTTTAAATGAGATATATGTGTTGACGTTCCCAATTGGGAACATTGGGCACATAAGGTACTATGATCCCAAATGGGAACGTAGTACCTCATGTGCTCAATTTAGTTTCTCATGATATTATAGTGATATATTTAATAATTTTTATTTTAAATTGTTTACAATTTAAGTATGTCTGAGAAGAGATTTCGTACTGAAGAAGTTCTTGCTAACATTATGGCAGATGAAAATGTGGATTTTGAAGAATCTGATGATGAAATTGAAGAATTTGAGCGTTTAGCTGACGCAACAGATGCAATTACGGATTCACAGACTCCAGTTGATGTAGTGTTGCTTCCTCCTACGAAGGTAGACAGCATTTCAGATGAAGAGATGATAGATGATGACGATTTGCTGCCATCAAACATGCCAAATGAAGTTCCTGGAAGAGTTGGTGTTCTTTTAGAACAAGCAGACGCACGTAATGATGTTGGATTACAAAAAAAAGATAAAAAATGTAAGAAGCCAGAACCAAAATGGACCAAAAAAATAAATTTCACTGGAAAATCATCAACAGGAACACCAGAAAAAATAAGATCAAAATATCCAGAATTATGTTCCAAATCACCATATCATCTTTTCAAACTTTATTATGACAATGAGTTGAGGGATATGATAGTGAATGAGACAGTCAAATATGCTGGACAAAAAAACAATAATAAATTTGAATTTAATCACCTAGATTTGGACAAATTTGTTGGAATACTTTTACTGACTGGATATCATACATTGCCTCGGGAAAGAATGTACTGGAATAGGGAT